CGTCAACATAATCCTAGTATATTCATTATACTAGAAACTAAGTTATCTGGTGAAAGAGCGGAAATGGCGGCTCATTCCCTTCAGTTTCCTAAGAAGGAGATTGTTGATGCTGACGGCTTTGCTGGAGGCATATGGCTGCTTTGGGATGATGAGCATTATGAAGTGAATATCCTCAGCAAGGTTCCTCAAGTTATTCACGCCATGATTAAGGTAAATTGCCAATCTAATTTTTCCAATTCTTTTTGGTATATTTCTGCTATATATGGTCGGCCCCAGTTTGAGACTAGAACTTTACTTTGGGAAAATCTTGTCCAATTTTCTCAAGTCATTGATGGTCCTTGGTTAGCCATCGGTGACTTTAATGATGTGACTAGTCAATCAGAGAAATTTGGTGGATCTCATGTGCCCCTCTACAAAATGAGGGCTTATATCGATTGTATGAACTCTTGTAATCTCATTGAACTGGGTTTTAATGGACCTAAGTTTACTTGGGTCAATATGAGGAATAATGGCATCATTAGGGAGAGACTTGACAGAGCATGGTGTAATCCTGCTTGGAAAGTTATGTTTCCAGAGGCATCGATTCACCATCTTCCTAGATTATCGTTTGATCATTGCCCTATACTCCTCAACTTGGACCCTGTTCATCCTTCTATTGGCAATAAGCCTTTTAGATTGGAAAGTTTTGGGTTGAACATCATTCCTTTCGTGATCTTGTTACTACTAATTGGATTAATAATAATCAACCCTTTTGGATTGTTCGGAGCACTTCAAAGAAGCTGTTCGATCTTGGAGCAAATTTACCTTTGATGATTTCCATAAAAAAGAAGAAAGAAATTATAGCTCGAATTGCAGGAATTCAACGCTTCCTACAATTTAAAACTAGTTCCTTTCTTCTTAACCTTGAAAAGGACCTTACCAAGGAATATCAATTTATCCTCAAATGTGAGGAAGATATGTGGTTCCTTAAATCTCGATCCCAATGGATCCAAGAAGGGGATAGTAATTCAAAATTTTTTCATGTCTCCGCCCTCAAAAGGAGGTCTTACAACAGAATTATGGGACTTAAAAATTCCTCTGATTGTTGGGTCAATGACACTGTTGGTATTGAAGCTATCATTTTATCTCACTTTTAGGATCTCTATACTACCTCTCATTCCCAGTCCTTTCATGATTCCTTTGCTGGTGTTCATGAAGGTCATATTATTAACCATTCCAAATGGGAAGCCCTTATCTCCCCCCCTTCTGATAAGGAAATTTGGTTTTCTATTAAATCCATGACACCTTGGAAAGCTCCAGGGCCAGATGGATTGCATGCAGCTTTCTTTCAGAATTTTTGGGATTTACTTAGCCCAAAGGTGTGTTCTGAAGTTAGAAATGTCTTTAGTTTTGGTATCATTCCTGAGGGCTGGAGTCAGAGTTTGATTGCTCTTATTCCTAAAGTCCAAAACCCCAAAAAAATTACTCAATTCAGACCTATTGGACTTTGTAAGGTGATCTACAAAGTTGTGACTAAAATTCTTGTCTCTAGATTGAAGAATATTATTGGCGATCTCATCTCTCCGTTTCAAGCCAGTTTCATTCCTAGAAGGAATGGAATAGACAATGTCCTCATTCTTAGAGAGTTAGTCTATTCTTTTTCCAAGAGGAAAGGGAGAACAGGTGACATGACTATTAAGCTTGACTTGGAGAAGGCTTATGATCGACTTGAATGGGGATTTATTAAGGAAGCCCTTCTTTTCTTTAATTTCCCTCCTACTTTGATCTCCATTATCATGTCTTGTTTATCTCTTTCCAAATTTGCTGTTATTATTAATGGTGGAACCACTGAGTACTTTCAACCTTCTAGGGGTCTTCGCCAGGGGGACCCTCTTTCTCCTTATCTTTTTATTCTATGTATTGAATATCTTTCTTTGAAGATCCAAGGAGATATTAATGTTAATGGCTGGAAGGGTGCAAAATTGGGCAAGAGTGGCCCTATTATTAATCACCTTTTCTTTGCTGATGATTTGATTTTCATTGGCAAAGCTACTATGGCTAATGCTTCATACCTAGAGGATCTTCTGGGCTTCTTTTGCCTTAGATCTGGACAGAGAGTCAATCTTTCCAAATCTAGGATTCTATTTTCTGCTAATACTTCTGTTGATACTAGAAGAGACATATGCTCTAAACTTAACATCTCTGAGTCTCTTCATCTTGGTAAATATCTAGGATTTCCCATAACTGCCAAGAAAGTTGCTAAATCTGACTGTTTATATATTGTGGATAAAGTTCGTTCCAAGCTTGCAGGCTGGAAAGCCAACCTGCTTTCTCTGGCTGGAAGAGCCACGCTTGTTTCTGCTGTTCTTTCTGCTATTCCAAATTATTATATGCAGGGAATGTTTCTCCCTTCCTCTATACATAATGAATTGGACAGAATCTCTAGGCAATTCATTTGGGGATCTTCTAATGAAAAGAAGAGAGCCCACTTAGTCTCTTGGGACAAGATTACTCAACCAAAAAAGCTGGGGGGGTTGGGCATTCAATCTTCTAGAGAAGCAAATCAAGTGACCATGGCCAAAGTTCATTGGAGACTCTTAACGGAGAAGGAAAAAGTTTGGTCTTCTGCTTTATGTGCTAAATATAAGATTGAAGACCCTAAAAGCAGCATTGATAAGCCTTCCCCTGTTCTCAAAAATATCTCCAAAGGGAAGGAGATCTTAAAGAGAGGGATCAGATGGATTCCCAGGTCTGCAAATAAAGTTTCATTCTGGCTTGATAATTGGGTGTCCAATAGGCCTCTTCTTTCAATTTTAAATGGTCCTCATAGTATGGATGCCATCAATAGAAAAGTTCAAGAGGTCTATATGCTTAATGGGGAATTAGATGTTGATGCTATTTCTTACCCCATTCCCTTTGATATTGTGGATAGAATTAAAGCTATTCCCTTGCAAACTTATGGATCGGATCAAGATAGGTTTATATGGGGAGCCTCTTCTAACGGAAATTTTCAATCCAAGTCTGCTTATCATTTAGCTAAAAACCTTCCTCCTATTAATGATAAGACTTGGTCTGTCATTTGGAAGGTTAAAACTCTTCCAAAAATTCACCATCTTCTCTGGCTTCTTGGTCATGGGAAACTTTTAACCTTTGAGCTATTATTTAGTTGGGGCGTCACTAACAACAACACTTGCCCGAGATGTTGCAATGCTCCTGAAACTCTCAACCATCTATTTTGTGAATGCCCCTATTCTCGGACCCTATGGACCCTCATGACCCCTCAGCATATCAACTCTCTATATCATGATATGGATTTTAAAGATTGGCTTACAAATCATTGTGCCTCCAGTGACATTATTCATGGGGCTCACTGGAATACTATTTTCTCTTTTGTTGTCTGGTCTATTTGGTATCTTCGTAATCAACTTGTTCATGATAGGAGAGTTTTTTCTATTGATAGTGCTAGAGAATTTATCCAGCAAAAAATTGAAGAGTTCAAGAGGATTACTTTTACTCCAACCGGTGATACCCCAAATCATCTAGTTTTAGTTGGTTGGAGACCTCCACCTGCTGGATTTGTGAAGCTAAATACTGATGGTTCAGCTTTAAAAAATCCAGGTATTGCTGGTGCAGGAGGAGTCTTTAGGGATGATCTTGGGAACTGGTTATGTGGATTCTCTCGTCATGTGGGGATTACAACTAGCCTCTCTGCTGAGTTGTGGGCTATTCGTGATGGTCTCAGAATAGCTATCCACAGAGGATTCTCTAAACTACTTGTGGAGACTGATTCTAAAGTGGCTACCATTTTGTTAGATACTAACTGTCATAAACTTCACTCACTGGGAACTCTTATTTCTGACTGCAGGGCTATGCTGAATCAGTTCCATGAGATTCACATCTTGCACGAGTACAGGGAGGCAAATGGGGTTGCTGACTGTTTAGCTAAAATAGGCACTAGGCAACAGTCTAATTTTGTTATGTATGATCAATGCCCTTCTAATGTTTCCTCTGTTTTGTACTGGGATGCTATTGGGAATGTTCTTCCCAGAATTGTATCGGATTATTAATTACTAATGCTATCGTATTTTACCAAAAAAAAAAAAGA